CGAATTAAGCGCTCCGCTAGTTCGAATTAAGTTCGAACTAGCGGTTTGCATGTGTAGCACCTATCAAAGTTAATTCGAACTAACGTCTGTTAGTTTGAATTAACTTTGTAGTGTAGACATACCCCAATTGTTTTAATTTATTGCAGTATCCAACTGGTGATTCTACATACAGTGAATTTCCATTTGGAGCAAAAGCGGTCCTCAGGAAAAAAATGCTTAACTGTAAAAGGGTTCCTGTGTGTTTGTCCTTATGGTGTATGTTCCATACCATGTGTGTACATGTTTGCATACGGCATAATCTGTCTAATAATCATCATGGGTGCTCTAAAACACAGTATTTTATGATAGGACTGTTTTTTTTAAATGATCAAATATGTGCATTCCTAGGTGAGAAGAAAGAGTGTGTCTGTATATATATCCTCCCTAATGCATTGCACTTTTTCTAAATTATTTGTCTAGTGAGAAGGCACTTAGAAGGGAGCAGCAATGAAATGTCACTCAAAGTTAATTCGAACTAACGTCTGTTAGTTTGAATTAACTTTGTAGTGTAGACATACCCCAATTGTTTTAATTTATTGCAGTATCCAACTGGTGATTCTACATACAGTGAATTTCCATTTGGAGCAAAAGCGGTCCTCAGGAAAAAAATGCTTAACTGTAAAAGGGTTCCTGTGTGTTTGTCCTTATGGTGTATGTTCCATACCATGTGTGTACATGTTTGCATACGGCATAATCTGTCTAATAATCATCATGGGTGCTCTAAAACACAGTATTTTATGATAGGACTGGTTTTTTTAAATAATCAAATATGTGCATCTGTATATATATCCTCCCTAATGCTTTGCACTTTTTCTAAATTATTTGTCTAGTGAGAAGGCACTTAGAAGGGAGCAGCAATGAAATGTCACAGGGCAACAGCTTCACAGATGACATAGACTTCATATCAGAGGAGTCACCACTACCTGCTGTATCTAGTGTGGCACAGTAAGTGGAATAATGGTTTTTACTACATAATATATACATCAGCTAATGGTTGAAACAGCCATATACTAAATAGAAGTTTTTTATTTCTGTTTCTTTAAATGAAGAGCAGTATAATGTATTAAGACTAAAAAACTACTCTTTAAGCCGTGGTTAAGAGACTTGATGTTTTTGGTTTGTGTCTACATCTTTTATGTTCAAGAAAAAATATTTCCTGCGGCTGGTTCTCAAAGGCAGCTTCAGATTCTGTAGACTTCTGAATGGGTCTGATCTTGTTCAGTTAGTTCACTGTAGATCATAATGAAATACTTGTCTGGACAAGGCCTGAAAGGAGGAAACTATTGTTGAAAGGTCAATTGAAGTGAAATGTTGTCCTCCAAGGTCAAATGAACTTGTGGGTTATTACCTGAAAAGTAGCGTAGATGATTAAACAGCTATGTTCATAAAGGAGTATGGGCATACTCAATAGGGAAACAGTGCTTTCAAGAATTAGAGGATAGAATAATTAATATAGTTTTAACTGTCATTGAGTAGGACCGGAAAGGCATGTCTACATTCAGTCCACTGTAGTGGTGTTGAGTTCTTGAATTGGTTTGTCACATTGCTTACCTTTTGGTTTAGTAAGTGCATGTATCACGTCTGTTTGATAGAACCACACAGCACCATGGCAACTCTGTAAAAGGTACATTCAGGAACGCTGAAGCATCTGACATATAATGTTCAAGTCTCTTGTTGAGTGTCATGACTTTGGGGGCAACTGTCATAATTGAACAGCACACTGACAGTTATAGCTGGGACTCTCTGAACCATTGAAGTTCTTATGTGTGTGGCTTTGTGGTAAGTTGAAGAGAAACAAAAATAATCTGTACTCATTTAGTCAGACCTGAGCAAAAGGGGTCATTTCAGGTGCTGCAACCAATTGGCATGCCACACAACCAAAATTTATGATTAAAAACTGTGATGGCACTGGTGTGGGGCTTAATGGTACACTACAAGAGATACAATCCCAAGGCATTTTCTAACCAGTGTCTTTTAAAAACACTTTTTGACCAGTGTAGACAGAGTGAAAAGATTCTCAATTCTCTTTGGGATGTGTGTAGTGATTTTTCTTATGTATCCCGCTAAGACAAAATGATGTGGTGTTTTTCATTTGAGAAACAGCTGAAGAATAAATCTATCTTCTTAATCTCCGTGTTACTTAAGTTAACAATTATGGCTGTTTAGAATATTAGCTTGTCTTCATATTTGGAAAAGAAAGCATGGTAATGGTTTTGTGAAGAAGATCCATGATTAAGCCTTCAGAGTGTGACAAGTGGATAGCTGGAAAATAATGTAACATTTACATTTTTTTTTGCAGTGAAGTTCTGATTTGTTAATTTCTGGTATTCCATGTGCACGTGACTTCCTTGCGTTTGAGTTTTCTTCTTCCAAGTAAGGGAAAAATAGGGCTAAAACCCCCTATTTTGAGAGTTAGATACAAGATTATATTCCGGCTGCCATTGGGTGAAGAACAGTGTTGATGTTGTTCCCAGTGCAGTACGGTACATATGTCAGCTTAATGTACTGCATGATGGTAAAATGCTAAAGAACGTTGAAGCTGAGATGTAAGAATGATACGATGAACTAATTAAATTTTTCCATACTGCTGCTCAGTTGCATTCGATATCAGGTCTACAAGATGTAGATAACACATCAGTTTACAGAAAAGTTGAAATCCCAACAAAAAATTGTTTCAGGGGGAGGCAGAGCTCTGAAAGGACTTTCAGTAAAAGATGGGAATTTGCCTCTTTCTAAAACATTTTGTGTGATTTTTTTTAATTTTATTTTATTCCTTTGTGAGGAGGAATTCTTTCCCAGCAAATACCTATAAATCTTCAGCATGAGCTGAGCATATTTCTTTCAGATTACTAATTTTGGGAATATATAAGCATGCTAGAGAAGATGGCCTCACAATGAAGTCAAATTTTTTTGGAAAAAAACTGTTGAGCTTTTTATGTTGCGCACAGGCTTAAAAAATGCAGGATTGAATGTTTTCATAGGTTTTGCAAATATTTAAGTGAAAGTCGTCATTAGCTAAAAATTGGCAATGAGATAAATGCCTCTGTTCTAAATCTGACTGAATAAAGTTACCCCAAAAGGTTTGGTACTTTATCCATTTTACAGATAAAGGGTCACGAGTAACAATATCATCAGAGCAAAAAGTGTTTTGAAGAGAGGCATGGCTATAACTGTGCTGTCGTTTGCTACAGGTTGGACCTCCCTCGTCTGGCACTCTCAGGACGTTACCGGTCCCGAACAAGGGGATTTGCCAAATTGGGGAGGTCCCTTCCAACATGGCCCATGCTACCCCTGGCTAGGGTCCAACCAGCCCCCCTGCTGTCTGCCTGGCCATGGTTCCCCAGGCCAGGGTTCCATGGTCAGGGCTGGAACTCCCTAGCTGCTGCTCGGGCCAGAGTTCCCTGGATGCCACTGCTGGCCCCGGAGCTCTGTGGCCGGAGCTCCACAGCTGCTGCTGGCGCTCCCCTACAGGAGGAGTCAAAACTCCCTGCTGCACTGCCTGCCCCTCTGTGAACCCCTCCCCTAACACAGGAATCCTGGCTGAGTCACCACCCCACTCTTGCTACTCCTGCCTGGCAGCTCAGCCTCCCTATACCTGGGCTCTGTGGTCCAGGAACATCCATGGTTCTTCCTGACCATGGATGTTGCCAGACCAGAGAGTCCCAGTTTTGAGAAGTACAACTTGTACCATTTTCTACTGTCCGTTCCTTGTGTGTGTACTCCCAGCTTTAGCAGTTAAAACTTCAATGTAGCACACATTTAGAGAAGCCCTTTCAGAGTAACTGGGAATGTACTACATTTTAAGAGACACTAATGATCAATGTCCGTTTCTTAAATACAGGCAGTCCCCGGGTTACGTACAAGATAGGGACTGTAGGTTTGTTCTTAAGTTGAATTTGTATGTAAGTTGGAACTGGTGTCCAGATTCAGCCACTGCTGAAACTGACCAGCAGTGGCTGAATCAGGACGCCTGGAGCAGAGCAGCTGGGGTGCTGCGGGGTTGGTCCAGTAGCGCCGAGGAGCGGCGCTGCGGGACCAACTGGCAGCCCCCCAGCTGCTCTACCCCAGGTGTCCCCAAGTCAGCTGCTGCCGAAACTGATCAGCGGCTGATTCCCGGAAGCCCGGGGCAGAGAAACTCTGCCTCAGGCTTCCTGTAGTCAGCGCTGGTCAGTTTCAGGAGGAGCGGCGCTACTGGACCAACCCCGCAGCACCCCAGCTGCTCTGCCCCAGGCGTCCCCAAGTCAGCCGCTGCTGAAACTGACCAGCGCTGACTACAGGAAGCCTGAGGCAGAGTTTCTCTGCCCCGGGCTTCCGGGAATCAGCCGCTGATCAGTTTCCGCAGCAGCTGACTTGGGGACACCTGGGGTAGAGCAGCTGGGGTGCTGCGGGGTTGGTCCAGTAGCGCCGAGGAGCGGCGCTGCGGGACCAACTGGCAGCCCCCCAGCTGCTCTACCCCAGGTGTCCCCAAGTCAGCTGCTGCCGAAACTGATCAGCGGCTGATTCCCGGAAGCCCGGGGCAGAGAAACTCTGCCTCAGGCTTCCTGTAGTCAGCGCTGGTCAGTTTCAGGAGGAGCGGCGCTACTGGACCAACCCCGCAGCACCCCAGCTGCTCTGCCCCAGGCGTCCCCAAGTCAGCCGCTGCTGAAACTGACCAGCAGTGGCTGAATCTGGACACCAGTTCCAACTTACATACAAATTCAACTTAAGAACAAACCTACAGTCCCTATCTTGTACGTAACCCGGGGACTGCCTGTAGCCATATGGAGCTCCCTAGTTGTATAGCCAATAAGGACTGGATTGTGTAAATTTCTCCTCCTGATGCTATTCCATATTAGCAAACAAAAGGCTCGTGGAATTAATCACAAGATCAAATAAAATAAATACAGACAATGAACTGCAGGATGTTGCAAACAGTTAAGTCGTGAGATTTGAATACTTGGTCCCCCTCTTCCCCAGATCTGAGAATTTCCCTAAATGTCAAAGGTATCTGGTGTAAATCTCCCCAGTTTGCCCAGTGGAAGTGAGTGACTTTCACCCTGCAGTGGATTAGTCATTAGATGACAATTCAGTGGATTTCAACTGTATTAAGGACAAACATGCTAATGACCATTGGGGTCATGAAGAGAAATCAAGTGTTTATAGCAGCCTTTCTTCTCAATAACTAAATGAAAGGAGGAACTGGGTGTAAGATCCCTGCTAAATGAGAGAGGATCCCTGGGGTTGGAAAGGTTGAAACGCACTGCTATATGCTATGAAGTTCCCTAGTACTCCATAGCACAATTCTGTAATTGTAATTCTGAACTCAGGAGAATAAATACCTGTGCATATTGGTCAGGGAAATTGTATGGGGACCATTACCAACAAGTGTGTTCAAACATAATCACTGATATCACAGTTTCAGCAATAGGAAAGGCCTAAAAGGCACAGTATCATGTCAGTCTTTTTATACAATAAAAAGAGCTAGAATGGCCTGCATGCCACTAATTTGGATGGTCTTGCTTTGGTGAGCTTGTTTCCAAACTGTATATTTGCATGTATATGTGTTGACTATTTTTATGAGTTAAATATTAAATGGGGGTGTGACGACGCGTTGGGGTTCTCCCGCCTCCTGCACCCCCGTAATGGCATGAACAGACTCCACCAGCCAGTAGAATAGAGGGAGTTTATTGCTTCTCCAAGATACAGCACAGCATAGATGTTATCTGGTTCCAGGACAGGCCTAGGATGCCTCAGCTCCCCTTGATATGGGGGGAGGGTCTAGGCTCCTAAATCCCAGCCTGTTGCCTAGGCCGCTTCCTCCATGATACCAGCCAGAGAGTAACCAACTCTCTTCCAGCCCTGGCCCCAGCCAGGGGCGGCATTCCACCTTCCTTTGTTTCTCTCCTTGGGGGGGTAGCTGGTCAGACAGATTGAGACACCCTCTTTGCATAATGACTCACTCCCTG